GCCGCCCCGCACCTCCGCCCGGGCGGACTGGAAGCAACCATGACGATGGCGTCCGAGGTACTTGCAGAGATGTGCTGTGGTCTCTCTGAGCTCATCACAGTACCTTCCTATGCGGGAGTTTCAATTCAAGGTCACTTTTGGTTCCTTTTCAGTAGCAGACTCAGAACCAGACCTATTCATATGTCAGAACAGGGCAGACACATTAATAGCCAGACCCCAGTGGGAGTTTTATTTTCCATTTCCTCCTCCTCCATATTTATTTGTTTCTTCACCTCTTCCGTGTGGTAGAGGTGACCTTGCATGATATTTTCAGAAGAAGCTTTAAAAAGGTATGGTGGAGGATGGGGAGGGTGTCACCCTGGCTTGGAATCTGCTCTTCCTCCAAACCCTGTCAGGCTCTGGTGTTGGGCTGCCTGGGTTTAAATCCCATTCTACCACTCAGAAGCTGTGTGACTGACCTAAGTCAAAATACTCAGCCTCTCTGAGCCTCAGTTTCCTCATTTTTACATTGGGGATGATAATATCTGCTTCATAAGAGTATTATAAGGATTAAATAAGATCATTTAGTGTTGTTTTAGAATTTAGCTAAAACTGGGGCTGACTCCCATTGCTGGGGTAGCTTGCATGTCAGTAAGCACTATGCTTCAACAACCAAGGTCACAGAACAATGTATGTATAAATTTTTGTAGGAGAGACTAACTTGAATTGTAAACTTTCACTTAAAGCACAGCAATTAAAAAAAAAAAAGAACTTGTGAAAAGAGTAAAAAAAAAAAGAACTATCCTCCAAGATACTAGAAGGCATGTGTCCAAATGGTGTGGTTGTCTCTGTATTTCCACTCAAAGCGGGATTCAACTACTTCCCACATGCTTCCATCCTTCTACTGAAAGTTCTGTTCCTCCTCATCTGGATGGTCCCAATCCTTGAAGCTGATAAGCCTCTCTAGTTCTTAGGGGCAGACACGGAGAGGTAGGCCCTCTCTGTGGTCTAGGGGGGCAACTGGCCACTGCCTCAAATGGGGAAAATGTTCTCACCACATTTATTGCTTTCCCTGGGGCAGAAACTGTGAGCCTTTCTTACCTCCTGCAGGGTATTGAAGGAAATGTTTGTAAATTCTCTGGTAGGAACATGAAATGACATGCAAGCATCGTTTCTAGACAAGGAGACTTTAGCAAGAGAAGCTGCAGGAATCACATTTCTTGCTCCTTCAGTGTAATTTATCTTTTGGGAAAGGAGTGCACAGATTTTGGTGAATGTCATTTAATAGTCACCGCCATTAACCTTATGAGTTCCTGTAGAAAGGGAAAAAAATCACTACATGGTTATATCAGAGAGTGTAACTGGGATATAGCAAATGTTCAATATCGCTATTGGCTGTAGTATAAATGGGTGAATAAATGATACATCAAGAACAGCTACAGTATTTTATAGGCACAACAAAAGCCATCATCTTAGGATCATTATAATGGGAAAAATGTGTCTTGGAAATGATTTCAGGAACCCTGGTGGTGCAGTGGTTAAGAGCTTGGTTGCTAACCAAAAGGTCGGCAGTTCGAATCCACCAGCTGCTCCTTGGAAACCCTATGGGGCAGTTCTGCTCTGTCCTATGGGGTCGCTGTGAGTCAGAATTGACTTAGCGGCAACAGGTTTGGTGGTTTCGGTTTTCAATGATTTAAAAGAATATAATATTTTTTATTGGCTCAGAGTATCATTTTAGAGATGATTTGTCATGGTTTCTGACTAATCTTCAACAGGAGTGCCTCCTCACTTTGTGATTTTAAGTTTCTCTGGCCTGTCGGCCTCACAGGCTCAGTATCAAACAGTTAAGTGCCTTTGAAACCAATCCACGAAATACACTTAAGGGAAGTGAAGGCTTTCCCGCAGGCAAGAAGCCTATTGCAACGTGATCATCACCCTTGACTTGTCTCAAGATTGGCAAGGTTGAGGTATGCCAGGATTTTTTGAAGGATGCATCCTAGAACAAAAGATAGGAAATTGGTTTAAAGATAGAGGACCCACCAGTTCTACTCTTAGTTCTGTACCCAAAGACATATCCATCAAAAGACATGTACAAGAATGTTTATAACACTGTTAGTCATCATAGTCCAAACTTGAAAACAACTGAATGTCTGACAAGAGTAGAATAGATCAACTGTAGTATACACCTTCAATGAAATACTACCCAGCAATTAAACAAATAAAATAAAAAATCTATTGCTACATACAGTAACTTGACTGGATGTCAGACTTATTTGGTGAACAAAAGGAGCCAGGCACAAAAGAGTATGTGCTGTATGATTTCATTTACATAACGTTTCGAAGCAGACAAAACTGATCTATGGAGATGGAGATCAGAACAGTGGTTACCTGGTGGGAGTGGGGGTGGGGCTTATGAAATTGGAAGGAGCACCAAGGAGCCTGCTGGATGCTGGAAGGTTCTAGATCTTGATAGTGTTAGTGGATGCATGGGTGTTTACATATAAAAAATTCACCATCGCTACACTTGAGACTTGTACTGTTTGTTCTTTGTAATTTATGTCTCAGAAAAGGAAAAGAGAAAGAACCAAAAAATTAACTACAGAGTAAACAGGATCTGTGTGTTCTGGGTGGCTTTCATAAGACTCTGGGATCATAAATTTATGAACTATGACTCCTGTGTGAGAACAGAAAATGTGACTCCCATACAGATACATTGGACCCTGGGTCACACTGTGGAGTGTCCATTCATCATTAACTAGCATCACTGAGGGTTAGGTGTGCTGGGCCGTGTGCTAGCTGCTGGCAGTAGAACGGAAACAAGTCAGTCATGTCCCACACTCTACTGGAGGAGGCCACTCTTCAGGAGGAAACTATAGACATAGTTCTATAATTCTGACATATGTTCTAAGAAGAAACACATAAAAGGAGATCTTCTATGAGGAAGAGTGAAAGATGGGACCGGATTTCATTTGGGAGGTCAGGAAAGTCTTTCTGAGGGAATCACACTGGAATGGAGGTGTGAAGGTTGGGTAGGAGTCGGTCAGAAGAATGAAGTGCAAATGGAAATGCACTAAAAGCAGAAGTGGGGTGTGTGTTAGAGAGAGAGAGAGAGAGACGGAGAAAGAGACGGAAATAGAGTCAGAGAGTGAGAATGAGAGAAAGGAGTTCACTGGTCCAAGAAGCTAGGAGAATTCTAACGAGGCCGAAGACTAGTGAGTGAGGGGAGGAGACGAGGAAAATGAAGTTGGGTGGGGGGTGAGCATAGACAAGAACCAGGGCTTGGACAGCGTTCCAGGCCATGAGTAGCATTTGGATCACATGCTAGTATAAAGGAAAGGGTCAGAGGGTTCTAAGGGTTTTAAGCAACATCTGACTTACATTTTGAAAAGACCACTCTGACTGCCAAGAACAGAATAAACTAGAAAGGTATGAGAATAAAGTCAAGAGGACCAGATAGGACTACTGAAGTAATCTAGGCAAAGAAGACAGCTTGAATTAGGATGGTAGCAATGGAAGTAGAGAAAGGCGGGTGGAAATCAGGCAGTTTTCCCAAATTTCCTTATCTCCTCTTCTGCTGACCTTTCTTCTCTTTTAAAACTCTCTCTCTCCTGCCTCCCCCCCACCCCACCAATGCACCTACACACCTTCACACCAGCCCCTCTCTCCCTCATCCACTAGATCCTGACTGGGATGAGGAAGCAACAGCAATGACACGTGAACAACACCTTACTAGGAATTCCAATACATTACTCAGCTCAAGAAAAGGAGATCAGGAGTAAAAACTAACATTTATTCTGCATCACCTATGTGCCAGGCATCGTGCTAGGCACTTTCACATGGGTTGGCTTGTTACTAAACTGGATAATATTACTCTCGTTTTAATAGCTGAGGAAACTGCAACTTGAAGAGGTTAAATAATTATGTTATTGTGGTTTCCCAGCTACTTTAAGTGACAGAGGTAGGATTTAAGTTCAGAGCTACCTGATTCGAGAAACTATGTTCTTTCCACTACACTCTGCAGATGATCCCTTTATCACATGAGTATGTCATTTAATAACAAATATCAGGAAGAGTAATCCAAAGGAGTAACTTTCTAATGGTGAAATTTCAGACTTTTCAGACACCTGGTTGAAGACAAATACCTTTGAGCATCATTCTTCAGAGCCTCTGGGATCACAGTACTTAGGCGACCCCTTACTCTAGTCTGCCTGTGACTTATTTGGTGAACCACAAGCCAGGTCCTATGCACAGGTGTCCTGGGGGCCTGTGATATCTGAAAGCAACCGCAAAAGGGTAGGAGTGGCCACACAACCTCCAAATGCAGTGACATCAGAGCTGAGTTCAGATCAGTTTTGCTTGGGCAGATAAAGCCGTGACTCTGAGGTGTCCTGTGTTGGGTCTCACTACGAGTCAGATGTGATCTAGCTCCTGCCTCTGGAAACCACAGCACAGTCCTGTGGGGAGAAAAAGAGAGAGGGTATGAGAGGTTCCCCAATCTTAGGTTTTCTTCCTGTGTTTGACAGTGACTTTGTCCAATGACTATCAGCGAATTTCTTTGGGTTGGTCACATGACCAAGGGCACCATATCCTGAAGTAATGGTGCCTCAGGGAAGAGGAATGTATCAGGGACGGTTCCATCAGAGAAGCAGAGTCACTGTGAGTGATACAGAACAGAGGGTTGTTACAAAGACCGCACCCTGTGCAATTGCGAGAGCTGGGGAAGTCGATGGCCGACTGTTGCCTCTGTGTCCAGAAGGGCCTAAAGTCTCTGTAGGTCAGCACGGTTGGCAATCAGAAGGAATGATGGACTTTAACTTGGGGAGAGCAAGCACCAACTAGAGGCATGGAAAATACTGGAACTAATGAGAACACACTGGAACCCATGTCTGCTCTCATTGCCTCCAACTGTGTTAGTGCAGGAGACCTGCAAAAGAAGCTGGCACCTTCTTCATGGACGTGCCCACATGCAGCAAGCTCAGAACTCAGAGACTCTGAAGGAGGAGAGTGGGAGGAAGCTGGAGGAACTGCAGGCCCAGGTGCTGCTCCACCTACCGAGATGAGCCCTTCAAACAGCAGAAGCTAAGGGGGTGTCTGGCACCCTGCACCAATCTCCATAGCATTGCCGCTGCTTCCCTTCTGCCTTCCCGATCTTGTGTAATTCCTCTGTAGTCATCCCTAACTTGGAACCATGCTGGGAAGATAGTTCTGGGATGCATTTACAGCTTAGCTAAGTTGACACAGTATAAAGTCACTTCAATGGGAGAACCCTAGAGACAAGTAATTACACAAAGCAAAGGCTTTTTGATATAGGTGGAGTAGAAATAGAATTCATCTTCAACCCATAGTGCAACCCTGGCAAAATCCTTTTATGAGAAACACTTGTAATCCAGGCATGGAATGGGTTAGACCTGAGAATCAATTAGTAAACTATTAGTGTGAGTAAGTGCCTTGGTGACGCAGTGGCTAAAGCTCTCGGCTGCTAACCAAAAGGAAGGCCATTTGAACCCATCAGCCACTCCCTGGGAGAAAGATGTGGCAGGCTTCTTTGGTAAAGATTTACAGCCTTGGAAACTGTGGGGCAGTTCTACTCTGTCCTACAGAGTCGCTGTGAGTTGGAATCAACTCTACGGCAACAGGTTTTGTTTTGGTTTGGTTTAGTGAGTGCTGACTACATGCAAGACACTGCCCTAGGCATCACTGTAGGGGTACAAAGAGCTTTAAGATAAAGTCTCTGCTCTCACTACAAAGATGAGATAGACACGGTGCTGCATATGCATGCATGTATAATTACCCACCCAGTACGTCCCATCCCATGTGATCAACTCCATACTGTGGTATGTAGCCTGCAGTACTTCCAAAGGTGACCTGATGTGTTTGGTTGGTAGGATAGACTTCACCATTGTCAGATCCGGGTTTAAATTCAGTTCTGCCTCCCACAAGATATATGATCTTGGGCGATTTACTTATTCTCTCTGAGCCTCTGTTTACTGACTTATAGAGATAGTAAAGGTGTTTATTTCATATTGATTATAAGAATAAAAAGAGATCATGTATGTGAAGCACCAGCACACAGTAAGTACTCAATAAATGGTAGGCATTTTAATTTCTATAGTCATCATCATTGTCATCATTATCTTTATTGTCACCATATCATCATCATTATTCCTTCTTAGAATCAAGCCTACATGAGAACACTTGTGGCTTTAGGGCCACAGATCCACTAATATGCAAAATATAAATGAGAGTTCAGTCCCTTAAAGAATCAGCAGTTTGTATAAGCTGATGTATTTCCCATATTTATTTGTTGATTCAATAAATAGTAAGGGTTTACTACTACTCAAGAAGCATGTGGTCAGATTGTTTTCTAAAGTTAAATTGATATAAGACAGGCAATTATAAGCCTCAAACGACTAGTGTAAACAAGGTTCTTAGGAGCCGAAGTACAGTTCAGCAAATATGTCCTGGGACTTCTGAGAGGAGTTGAAAAGAGGGAAACATCAGTATGACTTGTAGTGATCAGGGAAGGTTTCAGAGAGCAGGTGGTATGGAGGTTCACCTTTGAGGAATGGCTAGGATTGTCATGTGAGGCAGGAGAGGGCACTCCTGAAATGGGGTATGAGGTGAACAGGGCCAGAGGGTGAACCCCCCACCCCCATCCCCACTCCCATGGTCAAGAAAGAGAGCAGAGCAGATTTGTCAGGCAATAAATAGGTCAAGAAACAAGTTGTCCAGGGCTTTGCATGCCCAGATCAGGAGTTCAGACTTTGTCCTGTGGGCACAATGAAAGCCATGTTTCAGGAAAACTAATGCGGCAAGTCTACGGGCTGGATTGGAATAGGGAGAGACTGTAGAAAGGAAGGCCAGATGGAAATCTTGTCACAGAAATTTAAAAACTACCAGTTAACCTGTTGCTGTTGAGTCGATTCCGACTCATAGCGACCCTATAGGACAGAGTAGAACTGCCCCATGTGGTTTCCAAGGAGCGGCTGGTGGATTTGAACAGCCGACCATTTGGTAAGCAGCCAAACCTTTAACCACTGCACTACCAGGGCTCCTAAAAAACTACAGAGAAGGCTGAAATGAGACAATGGGAATGCAAAGAGGAATGCAAGAAATATTTTGAAGGGAAGCAAATAGAGATGCTAAAGATGAGCCAAGATTCCAAGCCAGCGCAGCATGAACACATTAGGAAAGTTGGAGGTGAGAGATGGAAAGAGGCTGTGTTCCATTTTAGACATGTCGCGTTTCAGTGATTGCCACTGAAGACGCCGGGTCAGGAGATGAAGGCCAGAGATAAAGACCTGATGGTAACCTGCACTGTGGACTGGTGAGAGCAGAGTAGAAGAGAAGGGCAGACTAAACTCAGGGAACACTCACATGTAGGGAGTCTCAGGAGGTATCAGAGAAAGAACAGCCAGAGACTTGTGTCAAAGTGGCTTAAACAATAAAGGGAACTTTTAGACTCCCACTAAATTTAAAGAAAGCATCCAGTTTACGGACAGGAAATGGCAAAGACTTCCACTACCCCACAGCTCGTCAAGACTCAAGGATGCTCATTCCCACAAGAGAAGAATCTGGGTCTCCTCGTCATTTTGCAGACTTGTCCAATGGCCAACGACAAGAGGGAACTCAGTCCTTCCCAAGAAAGAGAGACAGTTATTCACTCAGAAAAAGTTGAATTGTTGTCCATACCGTGGTCATGATGAGGCATTGCTCAGGGCTCTGCAGGAAATAAATGGCACATTCAAAGAATTTCACTGAAGAGTCACGATGAAGAGACCATTTAAAGAGACAGCCATCAGGGATCAGCCCCAGCAGTAGACTGTCACATAATTTAAATTAAATTCTCTTCAAGCTAAAGGGGAGAAGACGAAATGATGTTCCCTGAAGCCCAGAGAGGCCAAACCGGAGGAAGAGGCTGTTCCACAGGAGCTGTGGATGCAGGAGAACACAGCCACTGCTAGAACCTTGGATGGTCAGGGAGAGAACAAGAGGAGTAAATGCCCCAACCTTTCTCTCCTCTCACCTCCCCATTTCCTGTCAGTGCATCTCATTGGCCAAATCAAATCAGCAGCTAGAAGTTAAAGGAGTCTAGGTAATACAGCTTGTCTTGCTCAACCTTCCAGGGCACAGAGCAGGGCCGAGAAGGGTGGAGAAAAGATCTTAAGGTGAAAATGGAGAAGAACCAGATCATTGGCCCATTATGGTTCCTTCACTCAATGTCATCCTCTGAGCCAAAGTAGAAATTATTAATTTTTATCGTTAATGATACAAATTTATGTAGTATTTTACGCTTTTTAAAGTGTTTTCACATACATCCCCCCTTTTGAGCTGTTAGCTCCCGCGTACCCCTGAGAGGTAAATAAGACCGTATTATTTACATCCATTTAACTTTGAAGTACAGAAGAAGTTAAATGATTCATCCACAGTCACACATGCGTGAGAGGCAGAGTCTATGTTAGAAATAAGGCCTTCTAACTCCTAAACCAGTGCTTTTCCCCAGGTGTGAAATGAATTTACCCGGGAAGCTGGCCCTGCTGTGAATTCCATTAGGACACAGCTATCTGGAATGTGGCAGGCCATGTGGCTCTGGCCAGGCTGGGTGTACAGGGCCTTTCTGGGCTGTTTTCAATAAGCAAATATTCCTGACACTTCAATTATCCCAATCCAAACAATGAACACACTGTGCACTGGAGCTTCATAAATTTCATTCAGTTGTATGCAGTGAGAATAATATAAGTCAAAGCTTTGTGTGTAGTCCCTCAAAAAAAAAAAAAAAAAAATCACCCAACAAAACAGAGATTGTTGTAATGGAAACATCTAGGCCAGAGAAAAGAAGCAACACAGGCTCCGTGTTTCATGAACCTGGCTCTGATACTTTTACTTTCTTCTCCATCACCGTGTCAAGGCAGAGAAAGTGTCTTCAGTGGGAGCCCCATGCCTTTCATTCTTCTCCTAATCAAAGCAGGGTCTTCAGTGTTCTTACACTCGGACAGCTCCAAGAATTGGATGTTTGAGAAGGTTTGTTTTTGTTTTTTAACTTTCCCATATCTGGTATCTTGTCATCTCCATGTACATGTTCCCAAGCCATTTCATCTACACCACTAAATGTATGCACACTTATATCTGAGAAGTAGCCAGAAAAATGGTGGTTATTTTCTTAGCAAAACTCAGGGGTTTATAGAAAAAAATGTCCAAAGAAAGCATCAGAAAACTTTAATATATGTTAACCATTCCTTCTCTTTTCCACCTCTGGAGAACAGAAATGAATTTGTTCTAGTGACAGTGCCTATGTGTTGGTGCCAGAATCAGTTAGGATATTTCGGATTACAAGTGATAGGAAACCAAAAAGGCATTGGTGGTTCAGTGGTAGAATTCTTGCCTTCCAAGCAGGAGACCTGGGTTCAACTTCCAGCCAATGCACCTCAAGCATAGCGACCAACCATCTGTCAGTAGAGGTTTGGATGTTGCTATGATACTGAACAGCTTTCAGCAGAGCTTCCACACTAAGACAGACTAGCAAGAAAAGCCTAGTGATCTACTTCTGAAAATCAGACAATGAAAACCTTATAGCTCACAATGGTCCAATCTGCAACTGATCATGGGGATGGTCATAGGGATGGTGCAGGATTGGGCAGTGTTCTGTTCCTTTGTGCTTGGGGTTGCCATGAGTTAGGGGTCAACTCAAAAACAGCTAACGCAACAACAATAGAAAACCCATATCAAAGTGGCTGAAACAATAAAGGTAACTTCTTGACGCTCCCATACTTGAAAATGCTGATGTAGTTTAGGCTTTAGGCACAGTTTGATCAAGGCTCTGGACTAATTTCTCTGTGATTATTTCAGTCCTGCTTCTTTGGAAGCATCCTCAGGTTGGTTGACTCCATCCTCAGGCTGGTTTCCCTCATGGTAGCAAAGCAATCGCTATGGTTCCAACGTTCATGTCTGAACCTGACACTTCCCAGAGAAAGAGCACTTTTATGACCCAGGGTCCCCCGCAAAAGTCTTGGGCATGGTGTGATTAGAAACATGCTTGGCTGCTACTCAAAAGGTTGGTGGTTCAAGTCCACCCAGAGGCACTTGAAAGAAAGGCCTGGTGATCTACTTCCAAAAATTAGCAATTGGAAACTCTATGGAGCACAATTCTACTCTGACACACGTGGGATCTCCATGAGTCAGAATGGACTCCACAGCAACTGATTTAACCATTCCTAGGGGAAAACCAAGTGCTAACTGGTTTATGCCTCAGTTGTATGGCCCAATCACTGTGGCAAGAGGCCTGGGGATTCTCTGACGGCTTAGACCATTCAGGGCCTGCTAGAAGTGAGTGACAGAACAACCCGACCTCTACTGAATGAGAAAAGAGCAAAATGGATATTGAGGAAACCACCACAATGTCCAATGAAGGACCAAACAAAACCTTTGAACCTTCAAAAGTTCAACCTTGTGAAGATCTGACTTTTAGATAAATGTTAGTTTGGGTTGTAACCATCTGCTAGAATGTGAAATTCAGAATATGAAGTTTTCCTTTGCTATCTTAGGAGGGGCTGTGAGTAGAGGAAATAGGATTGTGTTTATCAAGCACTGTCCCAGTTACTATGGCTACGTAAGAAATTACCTCAAAAAATAGTGTCTTAAAATATCAATAATTATTTATTATCCCTCATGGTTTCTGTGGATCAGGAATTCAGGTCTAGCACTATTGGGCATTTGTGGTTCAGGGTCTCTGCTGTGGTTGCAGTCATAGGTGGCTGTGGCTGGTGTCATCTCAAAGGCTTCTTCACTCACACATCTGGCACCTGATCTGAGGCAACTTGAACAGCTAAGCTGCTCGGTCATCTCTCTCTATTCTTATGCTGTCTGTTCCCATGATCTCTCCAACATGGCAGTTTCAGAGTAGCCAAACATCTTACATATCACCCAGAGTACCCACGGTATGGAGAGAGAAAGACAGGGGAGGGGGAAGGGAGAGACACAGAGAAAAAGAGACCTGGGTTTTTGTTTTTGTTTTTGTTTTTAATATTTTATTGTGTTTTTGGTGAAAGTTTACACAGGAACTTAGGTTCTCATTTAACCATTTCTATACATATTGTTCCATGACATTGGTTACATTTTTCACCATATATCAGCATTCTCATTATTTCCATTCTGGTTGTTCTGTTTCCATTAATCTAGCTTTCCTGTCCCCCCTTGCCTTCTCATCTTTGGTCTCAGATATATGTTTACCATTTATTTTTATTTAGATGATTATTTTGAGGTGCACAGTACTCATGGGTGGTATTATTTATTTTATGGGCCAATCTGTTGTTTGAATGAAAGGTGACCTCTGGGAGTGGTTTGAGTTCCAAGTTTAAAGAGTATCTCAAGGCGATAGTCTCGGGGGTTCATCTAGCCTCTACCAGTCCAGTAAATCCGGCCTTTTTTTAGGAATTTGAGTTTTGTTCTACATTTTTCTCTCGTTCTATTTGGGACCATCTATTGAGTTTCTGGTCGTATCGGTCAGTAGCGGTAGCCAGGCACCATCTAGTTCTTCCAGTCTCAAGGTAGATAATGTCATTGTTTGCATAGACTATTGGTTCTGTGGACTAGTGGACTAGTTTCTTCTTTAAGTCTTTGGTTTCCTTCTTTCTCTTTTACTGTGAATGAACAGAGACCAAAATTTGTATCTTAGATGGCCACTCACAAGCTTTTAAGACCCCAGAAGCTACTCACCAAAGTAGGATGCAGAACATTGTCTTTATGAACTATATTGTGCCATTTAATGGAGTTTCCCCCCTAGACTATGGCCCTAAGCCGTCAAACCTAGTAGACCAATCCCATGAGGTGTTTGGTTGTATCTAGGAAATATCCATAACTTTGCCCCCTATGTGCTTTATTTTATATTTGAAAATGTATGCAGCACACATAAACATGTATATACATATGCCTACAGTTACACCTATACATGCACATCCATATATTCATATATGTCTTCCTGTAGATATTTGGAGCCCTGGTGGCACAGTGGTTAAGAGCTCAGCTGCTAATCAAAAGGTCAGCAGTTCTAATCCACAAGCCACTCCTTGGAAACCCGATAGGGCAGTTCTACTCTGTCCTATAGGGTCGCTATGAGTCCGAATTGACTTGACAGCCTCGAGTTTTGGTTTGTACATATTTATGCATACATATATATCTATGAAACCAAACGCATATTTTTTTATATTTTATATAGAATTTTTTGTTTGTTGTGTTTTTTCTCATTCAGAAATTTATACACATATTGTTTTGTGACATTGGTTGCAATCCCCACAATGTGACAGCACACTTGCCCTTTCCACCCCGAGTTCCCTGTGTCCATTCGTCCAGTTCCTGCCCTTTCCTGCCTTCTTGTCCTGCTTTTGGACAGGAGCTGCCCATTTGGTTCCATACATTTGATTGAACTAAAAAGCACTTTCCTCACGTGTGTAATTTTTTGTTTTATAGGCCTGTCTAATCTTTATCTGAAAAGTGGGCTTTAGGAATAGTTTCAGTTCTGTGTCCGGGCACCATAGTTTTGGGGGTTCCCCAAACACATATTTTTTAACTGTTACTACTGTTGTTGCAAAATTGTGTATTCCCCAATGAATGTTTTTTTTTTTTTTCACAAATTTGCACATAAATTGTTCATTGACTTTAGTTGCATTTGTCACAATTTGTCAGCATTCTCTTTGTGTCTCTTCTATTTGTGTTTCAACACTCAACTTTACTACAGTTGTGCTGTGCTCACTACTTCCACATTCAGAGCCACATTTCCCATCACCAAAAGTAACAAGTCTCTGAGTTTTAAAGTGTACTTTCCCCTCCCCCCTTCTCCCTGGTAACCACCAATGAGCATTGGTTTCTCTATATTTGTCTGCTCTTGCCTTCTTGTAAAAGAGGGATCACACAATATTTGTCCTTATATGCTTAACTTATTTCACTTCGCATTATGCCTTCCAGGTCCATCCATGTTATAACATATTTTGCAGACTCATCATTGTTCTTTATGGTTTTGTAGTATTCCGTTGTGTTTATGTACCACAATTTGCTTATTCATTCATCCGTTGTTGGACACTTCAGTTGTTTCCATTGTTTTGCTATTGGGAATAAAGCTGCAATGAACATAGGAGTGCATGTATCTGATTATGTCACTAGTTTGAGGTCTCTAAGGTACTTTCCTAGGAATGGGGTTGCTGGATCATAAGGTAGCTCTATTTTTACTTTTCTAAGGAAGCGCCAAACCGTTTTCTATAATGGTTGTGCCATTTTACAGTCCCACCACCAATGAATGAGGGTTCCATCTCACATCCTCACCAACATTTGTTGTTTTCTGGGTTTTTTTTATTTTTTTATTTTATTGTACTTCAGGTGAAGGCTTACAGAACAAATAGTTTCTCATGAAACAGTAGTACGCATGTTGCTTTATGACATTGGTTAACAACCCCACAACATATTAACCCTCTAACTGCTCAACCATTTTTTTTTTTTGGTGAAAATACACATAGCCAAAGATACACCGTTTCAAAAATTTCTACATGCACTGTTGAGTGACATCGATTATGCTCTTCCAATTGTGCTGTTATTCTCACTTAAGATGAAGGCTTACATAACAAAATAGTTTCTCATTTAACAGTTACTACAAATGTTGCCCTATGACAATGGTTAACAATCTCACAACACATCAACAATATCCTTACTCAATCTTGGGTTCCCTATCACAAGCTTCCTTGTCCCCTTCTGCCTTCTGGCCCTTGTCACAGGACTCCTGCACCTCGTTAGTCTCATCTGGTTTTACAGGGCTGTCCACTCCCAAGCTGATCAGTGAACCTCGGAGGTAACTTCACCACTGAGCTAAAAGGGTGTCTGGGGGCCATACTCTCG